GGTGGCGGCGGCGGCGGCGGCTTCTACAGTAATGGAAAAGATGCAACAATCTCTGGGAACGGAGTGGGAGGAGAGGCTCAGGATATTTTCAGGGGGGTGAGGGTGGAATGTATGCGTGAGGGTTCGGAGGTGGCGGTAGTTTTCATCATCGCAACAAGGGACCGACCGGAGGTGGAGGTTACTGTGGGGGAGGTGGCGGGGCTAAAAGAGGTTTCTTGTGGGGGAGGGGGAGGACCTTTTAACAAAGGAGCAAATCAGCTAAAATGAATGTTGCTATAATAGCGCTGGTCATGCTGGGTAAACGTCACATTTCTTCACTGGAGTGCACATGTCAAGACTTATTAACGCGTAGTGGTAAATTACTTTCGTTAAAAGGTTACCTTAATATATGGACAGTTACCAGTCGATAATTAGTCATTAAATAGCAAGTAAAGAATGAGCTTAGGTTAGTATTTTGCACAAAAAGGTTGTGGAGACAGTTCTTCATATTCTTGTGAATTTCAATTACCGTATTTCCTCGAATATGCACGCGGACTTCTATTTAAAGTTCGGCTAAAAAGAGGGGCGCTTATGGAAAGGAGAGCACTTAAACGATGGGGAGGCGCTCCTTAAAAAAACTTCTAACCTGTATTGATTCCACTGTAGCTGAAGCTTTAAATAGTCTATTTAAATTGGCAATAGACACAGGTTTTCGTTGTATCCCTGCCATTTGAGAAAATGAGGAAGGAGGGAGGCGCTAGCTTGAGGGGGGGGGACTTATTTGATATTATGGGCTAAGGGGTGGGTGACTATTTGGGGCAGGCGCTAATTCGAGGGAGGGTGGTTATTCGAAGAAGTACTGTTTTTTATATCCGAGAATGATTTTTAATCGACTGCAAAAGTTTATTATGCAATTACTTTGTTTTTTCCTCATCAGCTCTAAACCAAACTCGATTTTCAGTTTTCATACGTTCAGTTAGACTCAGTTCTTTTTTTTTTTCCTCTGTAATTGGAGCTTGTTGCAAATTATCGTAAAAAAATCGGGGTTTGATTTGTGATACGTTTATCAGCATTTATTATGACCAGAATACCCCATTAGAGAAATTTTCAAAATTCGGTGTTACTATTCTTCACGTCTTGCAGGTTTTAACACTAAGACCAAATTGTTGATGTGGCCATGTCTGATGTCGTGTTATGGGGGGTTTATGTACACAGGGGGGAGGGGTGAGGGGGGTAACAAATGACTGAAATACGTTGGAGTGAACTGAGTTCGAGTAAGAGGGGTTCTGCTGTATTTCAAACGAGACGCAATGGTCGTCTCAGTAATCAGAAGGAATCATTTTCCATCTGCTGGTGACTTTTCGGTTACGCAGGGTACACGAGCAATTATATATGTCAAGGTGATGGCACGTTCAAGTTTATGCAAAACTTTATTTACTTGCCAGAATAAAAAAATTCTGTTAACTTGACAATGACTAGAAATTTAATATTTTGAAATCGTTTTTTGCTTCTAGACACCTGATCATGAAAACTTAGAAAATTAGCTTTGTGAGAGTTAACAGAGGAGCTGTCAGTTTTGTGTTAACCGAGTAGTACTTGCTCATCATCTTGATTAAAGACCTAACATGTTGCAAACTACATTTGGTTTAAGTAAATAAATGAACTTTTTTGTTGCTGGGAGTTGTTTTGTTTTTGTTTAGTTATTGTTTTCGCTGATGCTTTTTGTCAGAGCCCTGGTTATAGCAGGTGGCTTTGTGCCTGAAAAAATAGAAAAAATAGATCTTGAGTCCTGGGCGGTAGGTCCCAACTATATTCCTCTAAGCACTTTTCAAGAGGGCGCAACAGCTAACAAGAAGATGGGGAGGAGGGGGTTTTCAGTGTTGGTCCAACGATTTATGTCAAATGTTGTATGTTATCATTCAATATATGCACACCGTCCCTGATTCTTGGGGATCCAGCCACGCCAAATGTAAGGTAGAGAGAATCAGGAACGGTGTGGACAGCTTCTTAAAGTCTGTTCCTGACGTAATCAATAGTCCAAATGGAAGCCTCCATATTTCTTTAAAGATCGACCACCTCGACCATAAGAAAATTTAATTATGCGCTTCTCACTGGTTCCCGAGAACCCTAGACGATAATGGATGTACATGTCTAAGATTTTGAGTTTTCAGTAGTCTGTCTACAACTTGCCGTGATAATTACGATCGTCTAAAACGTTTCCGACCGTATCAAAAAAGTACCATCCTTTACCGAGGATCCTTCAGGGATAATGAGGACACAGATATCATTCATTCATTCCTTATTCACACTTATTCTACTAAAAATACAACAACGAGAAAGAGGAAAAGTAGAAAAAAAAAAGAAGAGAGTTCTAACTATACATGAATTTACACAAAGCAGTGGAAAGAGTGTGTAGTAGCCAAAGGAGCCAAGCTTTCGAGTTAGCCACTACCACAGAGCAGTTATGGATAGGTGAAAGTTTTAGTTTCAGTTTTAAATGATAATTGATTTGTATGACTAGTTAGGATGAACAAAACTATGTACAAAAAAAAAGGGGACGACAAATCCTCCCAGAATGAATTGGGAATAAACAATTCAAAGAACGCAACGGTTTCCAACATAAATAAAATGGCTAAAACTAAAAATAACCCAAAACGAAATATTTAAAAAAGAACTAGAAGTAGTTGGAAATATTTTATCATACCAGTCCAGTTAAGAAGCTAAAGGAAATTGCTTTGTCGGGTCGTTTTTTCTGTCGTGTTAAAGGTCTACTCATGCTAAAATTGACATACATAGAGAAGTATAATTCAATCTTTTGCAGATTAATTAGGCTCTAATGTTAAGAGGAAATCCCCTTAATTATGTTAAAAAATTGCTTTAGTTTGCTAGAACCGTGAAAAGTTGCTCCATACGCCAAGAGTTGCTCAAACGTTGCTGAGTGCAAACGAGAAAGGCCCAGTAAGTGCTTATTCGTAGGAGGGCGCTTATTAGAGCCTGAGCGCTTATTCGAAGAAATACGGTATTACATATCTAGAAATGAGTTCAACTGAATGTGAAAGTTTATCATGCAACCACTTAGCTTTTCTTGATCAGCTCAAACCAAACTCGATATCCAATTTTCTTACGACCAGTTAGACCCAGTATCTTTGTTTGTGTGCCCTATGGGCCGACTGAACTTCTTTTTTGCCACTGGCGCTGGTTGCTCTCCTCAAAAACTATTATTTTGATTTTTGATACGTATGGTTTCCTTCGATTATAATCACCAAACTTCACCATTCGCGGATACCGTTTTTTTTTTTTCACAATTTCCATGAAAAGCGTTTGGCTCCACGTCTACCGGTATCCAGCAAGATAGAAAACTGGCCCAGTATTGGCGCCACATTGTCGACTAACGTTTTGTTACGAGAAGTTGATGTATATAGGTAACAGTAGGGGATGGGGGAGGGAGAAATATTTCAAGGGAAATATAACAAATGTTCAATTTAACCGAGTTCGACTTGGCAGGGTACTAGTGTATTAGAAAACTAGATTCAGTCACCGTCTCAGTAATTTAGGAATTTAATTTACTCGCCACGGGAATGGCAGGAGTATGGAACAGAACTTTCGTCCCAATTGACACCTAACCCCTTTGTACTCACCATCCCACCCCAGGGAGGACATCCACCACACAGTAATCTCGTGCGTGGGAAATTAACGTCTCCTACCCCTAATCCTTCAGGAGACGAGACCTCCATTTATTCGTCCCTATCCGAGAAGACTAGAATATCTATCCATTTCTTAATATTATAGAAAGGTAGAAAATTTGCCTCAGTTGTGTTAAGACCACGAGTATTGGTCCGGCCGGGACTCGAACCCTCGACCTCCCGCGCAACACAATCCGGCGCTCTAACCAATTGAGCCTCAGAATGAATCAATTCGGATCTGATTCATTTTCCATTATGCAAGGTACTAACACGTTTATATGTGCCATATAAAAAAATTATGATGGCACGTTCAAGTTTACGCGAAATTTTATTTGGATTGTCATTTTTTTGTCATCGTCTAGAACAGCTTTTCAGGTGGCTCCTGTGCACTCTCACTAAAGTGGAAGAGAATGCTATACTTGACGAAAAGAAAAGAAGTTTATGCCTGATAACGACTAGAAAGTAAATAGCTTTGTAATAAATTCCACACAGGGAGATATAGACAATTCCTGAGTAGTTCAACTGTTTTAATCGAGTAGCCGAGTAAATACAGAACACATACACCGAAAACTGTTTCGTTCTTAAACCCCGTGCTCTCAGATCCGATCCGCTTACATCTTGCAAATTTTACTTGCTTCCAAATGGACAAAAACCCTGGGAAAAAGCTATGTGGGAATTACAGAAAGGATCTCTCAGTTTTAGTGTTGACCAAATAGTATTTACATATAGTCTTAACTTAAGTCACTATGGTAACGTGTTGATAACTACAGCTGATTTAAGACAATAAAGTAGTTTTTCGCTGTTGAAAATTGTTTTGTTATTTTCAGGGCTCTGGTTATAGCAGGAGATTTGTGTCTGAAAATTTAGAAAAATGGGTGTTGAGACTTGGGTGGTGGGTTCCAACGAAATTCCTTTGAAATTAATAACTTTCGAAAAGGCACAACAGCTCCTGTAACTACAAGATGATTTACCTCCAGTCTCCTCTGCAGCCATTCTCTGGACGTAGAAGATTGGGTTACCTATAACTCTACCACGACTCTGAAATTTCTTTGCAATAGATAATTATCAAGAGGGCACAACAGCTAGCAAGAAGATAAGTCACCTCCAGTCTCCTTCACAGCCATTCTGGATGTAGGAGACTGGGTTATCCATAACTCTGCCGTAACTCTGAAATTCCTTTGCAATTAGTCATTTTCAAAAGGGCACAACAGCTGGCAAAAAGATGGGGGGGGGGCTATTGGTCTTGCAGTGTACAGTATATCATATGCTTTATGTTAAATGATTGAGATAAACCTGCCACAAGGGGAATGTTTAAACAATAAACCTGTAATCATTACATTATATGCTCTACGTTTTTATTTGTTCAAGAATTAATACATGGGGCATTTGCCCTACCATTGTAGAGTTAAAAAACTCATTCTCTGAGGTACATTATGTTGAATAAGGAGAACTTAACATAATGAATGACAAAATCATTTTAGCGTTTTTTAATTTATCTTAAATCTAAACACAGTACAAATGAAATAAATAGTCTGTTTTTAGATAGTGTTTATTTCACCCATAATATTCACCGGCCTGTCCTTGTATTTCTTGGAGATTTCTTGGGAAATCTGAGAGAGGAAAATGGACAACAATGAAGAAATGTGGCAAAGGGGGTGCACCAAACACGACAGTGAAGCTAGCGTTTCCTGTCTCATGTAGCAGAGTTTTTTACTGAAGTTTTTTCTGTTCAAGTTAAGCAACGTTAGAGTTTCTTTCCGCCTTTAAGACAGGATCAGATGTAAGCTGCAGTCTATTATATTTCATTTCGTTTTCCTTTCAATTTCGATTCTTTTGTAATTACCGGTAGTCTTTTCCTATCTTGTAAATTGTAATTTTCCCCTTTTAGTTTTCACCGCACGTGTACAATATTCAAATAAGTCCATGATCAGATTAAATGCTGTTGAATCAACTTGTGTTGTTTATTTTTGCACTGTGGTTGGCACTTTCCGAACTCCAGTGCACCAAGCCCCATGTCCGCTGCACTGTGCATGCGACACCAAAAGTAGCTCATGATGCCTTTTGTCCAACAATTTTTTTAGTTTAAAACCCGGCAAAGTTAAATTCAAACAACAAAGAGTCCAAAAAAAGCTATAAATTTAAAAAAATGACAATTCCTATGCTAGCGCATAGTCATTCGCATAGCAGAAGATTCCAGCTAACACATGAAACATCAAATTTTCAAAATTCCTTACGGCTTTTTGTTTCCAAATTAATAGCAAATTTTGCGTTTCACTTGCACATCAACAAAACACAACAGTTTCTACAAAAATTGATATCTTAGCTGTCTTACCTGTCCTTGTAGTTCTTTTGTTTTTGTTCTGATAATTTCAAGTTTGGGTTCCAAGTCTCTTTGGTCTATGATGGCTGCCTGTCGTTTGTCAGCCATTACTTTAATGGATGTTGCTAATTTCTCTGAGACTTTAAGTTTTTGCTGAAGGGAATCTGCTAAGCGGTCCAAGTACCTGAAAACAGAAAGGACCATAAGTTATTTACTAAAAATATACAAACATGCACCCACAATGAATACTAAGATACAGGCAGGAATAGGAGAGCTGACTTATCACAAGAAAGTGTGAGTGTGTGGAAGGGATATAATTGACGAAACTACTAGAAAACTGATGTACACTACACTATTTTAGAATACGCCTCATCCTTATGGTCTCCTTTCACTGCTAAACATCGTAGGCTACTAGAGAATATACAACGGCGAGCCACCAGGTTTATCATGAACTATCCTGATAGAGACGCTTACCCCTACTCTGAGTGCCTGATCAAACTTAAACTTCTGCCACTCGAATACAGACTGAAGGGAATCTTGTGACTTTATTTCACTTTTTAAAATCTGATCTGGTCTTATTAATGTTAACTTTAATCATCTCGATTTTCCCATTGCATCTCATTATATGACCCGTCATTATCATCCTTCAAACTTTCGCCCGATTACTACTCATACACAACAGTACCTCAACCAGTCTTTTTTCCCAAGATCAATTAAACTTTGGAACAATCTCTCTCCCGAACTGAAACACACCAAAACTATCAAAACCTTCAAACACTCTCTTCTACTTCACTATACAGACAAAACGGACAAGTACATTCCGCCTTAGCTTCTAACCTGAATTTTATTGGTTTTTAAATATTGTTTATGAATAGTGTGATTTTATTGTTGTAATTTGTTAGGGGATCAAATGTCAATTGGGGTGTGCCCTGTTTTTTTTTTTCTCCTGCCTTTGTGGTACCTTTTTGTACATATTTTTGTGTTGTATGTTGGCAAACCTCAATCAACTAAACTAAACTAAACTGAACTAAACAGAAACATTTTCTCATAATTATTTAATATGAAGGTCCCTCCTGACCCAGCCCTCCCTGTCCAAAAAAGCAATCCTTTTCATGCAACCTTCAACTTATAGCATTTCAGAGCAGTTATGTAGAGAATAGAAGTGATTCACAGATAAACCCTTGTTATAATCCTGATACAATGTCACATAAAAAGCTACTGCAAGAAAAAGAAAATTTACAACTTATGCAAATGTGTCATTCAATTAAACAACTCATTCTCATAACTATAATTTTGAGGATGGTGGGTTAAACACCAAGGATAATTAGTATTCACATCTGGGGAGCAGCTTAGTGATCAACATTACCGAGGAGAAGTTTTGAGTAAAAACAAATTGTGCATCTTCATTGAAGTGAGGGTGGACAGAACATCCGTTACAGCAGACTCCATAGATTGTACTGATTCCACTGACTGCATCTGAATTAGCTGAGGAGCAGACTGAAACTAAAGACACAAGAAGAAGAATCACAATCAAAACCAATCCCTTAAAACAGAACTGATTTTCACTGTAATCATTGCAATCCCTGTAAATATGACCATTCCTATTCCCTGCCTGACCACCTAACAATTTTATTTAATAGGAATGTTCCCTTTGCTAAAAAATTAATTTCTTTGAACATTATGTGCAGAACTTGCTGCATGTAGCAGCTGTGATATGAACCCCATTCTCCTTTAATGCCTCTGTCTGAAGCTTCAAGTTCCTCATAGGTCCCTCTACTCTCAACCCTCTCTAAACAAAAATTCCAAAATGAAGACACGCGCAGTGTAAATTAAAGTAGCAATGAAAATGATATGCAATCAGTTGCATTGTGGTGGACCACATTAAGTTCCAAATGTAGGTAGACAATAAACAGTGTTCATTAGAGCTGGTTAGAATTCAGATGCAAAACTACAACTCATAATGTGGTAGTTCCAAACTCCAAGGAGTCCCTCCACTGTTAGCCCTTGAGAGTTATTACTAACAACATTCTTAGACAATAAGTTAGTCTTACTATCAACTTCATAACTACATGTACAGTGTAAGATACCTGATTGGCTGACAGGACATCAGAATCACTCTTCATCTCTATCAGTCTCTGGCGCAAGAAACCCTGAAGCTGGGTATAGAAGAGTGCAAAGAAATGCTATTTGGGAAAGAAATACAGAATAACAAAAATGATACATGAAATGTCAGTGACACTCACCTCTAGAAGCTCATCAATCAAGAGATTTCTTGTTTGAGTTGTATCCATTAAAGTCTCGGCGTCTTCACCTCTTATCGCTTCTTCATCTAGAAAATAAAGTCACTGCCCTTAGCTTGCGTGTCAACACATTATTCATATTACTTCATTATGATTACAGAAAATAAAATGCACCATGTTGTTATTGACCTTGACCAGATTCTTCCAATGTAATTCCACCACTATCCACCGTCAGTTCATGGTCAGCAGTACCAGCATCATCTCCCCAATCAATAGCACTGTCCTGATTGTCCTGCCCTGCTTCACCCCAGTCAATAGTCTCACCACTGTCTCCCCAGTCTATCCCCCCTGCATCTGCCTCACCACCCTCCCCCCAATCAATATTATCTGCACCAGTATTGGTGGTGGTAACTGTTTCAATACCCCAGTCAATCTGTGGGAACAAAGAATAGGAAAATAAAAAAATTTACATGATCAAAATTAATGATAAACTATGTCTCACTACATAGAGCTTCTTGCAGTTGTAGATTGTAAAATTTTAACTGCAAAACCCCTCGTCTTTGTCAGGCTATGGTGTTTAATGATGAACCCTTTCCCACTTAAGAGGCATAAACGTTAGCCACTGTTGGTGCAGTTTGGCACACTCTTGTTGATGTGTTTCTCTCTTAATTATGATTGCAACAAGTTTATGTTATTCCTTAATATGTCCACTTTGTTATTACCTGGCTGCTCTGCTTTTTGACTACACGCTTTCATGCTTTTGAAGTTTCAATTCTCTTGGCTGTGTTGATGACTTATTTGAGCGAAATCTTACAAAGAGGACTTCTTTAACTCCATGTTGTTCATTTGCTACACGAGTGAACTTGTACTGTAACAGCCAAACCATGATTCACTGTACTTCCTGGCCCATTTCCTGCATACCTCATTTATACATATATGATCGACCATCGTACTCGACGAAATCCATCCCAGCGTAGGTGTGTGTGCTTATGGGATCTGAGGCCGAATTGGGAGGCGTACAAGCGGCCACAGTCGCAGCAAGCGATAGAATGCTGTGTGTGTTCTGCTCTGGCCTTCCTTGCTGCTCTCTTTCCCACCTGCCTGCTTCTTCTCTCATGTTCAAATGATTTCACAGCCTTGTGAGTGGCCGTACACCAAGCAGATCAATCGTTGGCCTTGTTCTCCCACTGGTCCACTGATATGTTGCATTTCTTAAGTGACCTTTTCAGGGTGTCCTTGTAACGCAGACGGGGTCTGCGTCTTGGCCATTGGCCATCACTTAGCTCACTCATTTATTTAGCATATAAGAGGGGATATTGTTTGACTTAATGAAGTAAAATGTCAAAACTCATAGTCATACTTGTAATATAGTTAAGGTTTTCAATAAAAAAATAGCACATTCAAAGTCACTCACATCTCCACTTTCTTCATTTTCTTTATTTGTTGTCTCTGATCTCTTGTCCAGTATAATGACCTTAAATTAACAAAAACAAAGGATTGTTTCACACCTTCATATATCTTATCAGGAAAGCTTTGAAAACAATCATACCGATGGTATCTTGCCAGTCCTCCACTGATAAACTGTGCTGTTACCATGTTGTTGAACATATCTTATAAGTGGTGTAGTTACCTCAGTACTCTCTTTCTCATTGTTATACCTGAAAATAGTACAAGAATACCCACGCTTGTAAAATAATTGTTCAGGAAAGTTCTGGCTGAGTTTAACTCACTGTAAGTACCTTTTATGAATTTAAAGAAGGTACAGAGTGCATAAAATACAAACCTCTTACAAACCAAGTTTGAAGTCCATACCATTAATTCAGCAAAAACAAAACTTGACTGACAAAAACCATGTTTTTCAAATTCAAATCAAATGGTACAGTGGTTTTCCCATAATTTGCCTGAGGCATTGCTTTTTTCCAAGAAAAGTACAGAAGAAAAGGATGTTCCATTCTATTTTCTGTATTTTCAGGGCTTTCAAGAGCAATTATTTTGTGAGGCATTTTTGCCCATGCAACTAGCTAAGAAGCTATTTTTAAAGGATGGCTTTAGATATAACAGCAATCCAGAGCAAAATATACTTCAGTTCAAAACAAGAAAGAATTCAACACTGAAACATAAACTGGTACTGATAAAAAAAAAAAAAGTTAATCTCAAGGTTTATCAAGGTTTCCCAATTTTGGCAAGATTTAACAGGACAGTAACGTTAACATTGCACATAAGAATATGGGATGCAATACCAGGTTCTTGGCAACTTGTAGCAAAAAATATTTTACACATAATAATTATTTACAAATTGAATAAGATGTACATTGAGCAACACACCTTGGAACTAAAAAGTTAACAAATGCCTCATAATAAAGAATTGCATTCTTTAAATTGCTAATGGAAGACACAATCCCTTTGTATAATTCAGGCAATTCATTCAGCAGACTCATTAATTCTGTTTTCACATCATCTCCCTGAAAAGAAATCATTCCGAAGACTGAGTGTTGTGGTAACAGTGCTTGTAAATGTAAACAAATCTGTAAATGTTCTGTAATGTCCTGGGGTTATAGGGGGGTTCAAAACAGCAGATTCTTGTTCAATAACTCAACAAGTTTAATTTCACAATGTACTCAAGCACATGGCAGAAGGCATCCCATGCACATCCTGACTATGTATATATAATGAGAAATGATACTGCCCATCCCGTACGGTGAAAAATAGAAAGAAGATCTATGGTGGCCTTATTTTATCTCAAACAAAATTTTTGAAATGTAAGCTGGAAAACCCAGTGAAATGATGCAGCTATACAACAGATCTCAATTTAGTGGAGAATATCATCACTCTATAGATAATTATACAAACACCATACTATTAGTAAAATAAATTATTCACAGTTACTGTTAGATCTAAGCTTTGCAAACTTACAGACCCTTACAATTACATTCCTTTACCTTTATACCCATTTGTTTGCACACACTTTGATACTTTTCTTTAAACAATGCTGCATTGGATGAATATTCACTCTCCTTCCTCGTGCACTCCTATATCATACAGTAAATAAACGTGTTGTTACTAAGGGCACTGTATAGTTTATGGACACTGATGATGATGATGATGACTTTATTTAAACTCGGATGAATATGAGGCTTGTTAGGCCTCTAGCAATAGAGATGCTAATATACCGAGAAAAATGTATGAATATAATTTACAGAGTTTAAAAATAATATAAGCCTAAATATAAATGATGATATAAATGATGGTGATACTTGCAGCAAGTAGATAACACTGTACAGTGCAAGTCGTTATCAATCAATTTAAGTGTTTTGTTCAAAATCCAGCTTACCCTTTGCATCTGCTGACACTTTGCTATTTGTCGCTTTAATGATGGAATCTCATAGTTAACATTCCTGATTAAAAGATGGGCAGCTTCAGCTGAAAAAATAAAAATAAATGCCAAGAGCTAGTGGCAATAACGTAGGAGAGTTTTCAGAGGAACTCTGTTATTTCACTATATTTTCAATTTATGTTTTCTGTCCATCCAGGTCATCTCCAACTCTCAGTGTTTGGATTCCTCAGTTGATCAGGCAGAAAAATCCTAACTCTCTTCTCAACATTTTTCACTAGTAAAAAATATTAATTACAGGATGGTTCTCTTTAAATTAAAATGTACCTCTACCTCCCCTTCAAACAATGTTGCATAGCTCGCACCATAGAGTCATGTACTGGTAGTCCATATTACTTATAATATTATACAATGTACTGTGACATCTTTTTACAACAAAAGATGAGAGGAACAAATGGAAAACATATTTAAGATGTTTAACTGTTGTTAGCATAAAGCTCCCTTCCACAAGTTGGACACATCACCACAATTGAGAATATATTGTACCTAAGTTGATGTTACTTTTTTCATACAGCTTCACAATTTCTTGCCAGTCCTGTTATGAGAAGAGAAAATAATTTCATCACTATTACTTGAGTCCTGAATCAGATGCAATATATAAGTTAATAATCAAAATGTGTAAACTGTACTTTGTAAAACCACTACAAATCTCTGTCAATTGTGTCATTTTTGACAGAGGACATTGATTCAGACAATGATGTACTTCCCATCTTGGATTTTGCCAGCTGTTGTGATAGCAGTTGAACCAGACATTGAGGAACAAGACCTAACAATGCTCTTATAGACCCTATCCAAAGATATATTATGATCTCTACTCTTCCAATCAGTGAAGATACATTTAACAAAGAGAAAGGGATCATATTTCAAATGGGGCTCCTTGATTGGTTGTTGCCTATCTGGACTTTCCCTCCTGTGTGTAAAATACATGATAAAATGTACATTGTTTACATGGAATTGACATGTGCTGGTCTAAGGTTAGTCTAGGGTAGCTAACAGCAAATTTGTTTCATATGAAATGTCAACATACAGGAGAATTGCGAGGAAAATTCACTAACAGTAGCATTTAGTTCCCTGTGAAACTTTTCCAGGATGATATAGTTAATAATAACTGCCTAACGTTCATGTGGCATTGGGATCTGAATGGTGCAAGCAACATACCACTCTACATGCTTACATGGAGTTTTCTTTTTTTGTAAAAAATAACTCAATAATTGATGAGCCACTCAGTTTAATTATATTACAGTATGACTATATTTCAATGTTGCATCCTAACCTTCATCCTCTTGGATGAATAACCACCAAAAATGTTTTTGGTCGCTGATTCTGATATTTTGAGTAATTCTACAATCCTGATACAATGGAAATAGTTTATATCTGAAAAGGTAAATGAAAGAAGTAGTATACAAACGAATATAACTAACTACATTTCATCAAAATACTATCATGCAAGTTTTGAAAATTATTTAAGTATAAGCAATAAATACCAAGAATACAAGCTTCCAAGACTGTTAATATTTTTATTCCCATGAGTGATCAAGACAGAATTTCTCCTTACAATAGCAATACAATATCAAGCAGACAGGTGATGAGAATAAAGAAAAATATCAATTGGGAGACTCTTAGTAGACCCAATACCAAATTCTCAAAACTAACATCACAAGACTTGTATAACAGACAGCGAGGAAATTACAAAATAATGTGATCTTCGGAGTGAAGGGTGAAACAATGGTCACGCTTTTAGAAAAGGCAATAACATGATTGCAAGTGCAGTATAGGCAATAACATGATTGCAAGTGCAATAATATTTATAGGCAATAATATGATTGCAAGTGCAATATAGGCAATAACATGATTGCAAGTGCAATATAGGCAATAACATGATTGCAAGTGTAATATAGGCAATAACATGATTGCAAGTGCAATTTGTTGCTAATAAGCATGAGACAAGAAATAATGTCATTTCTTACTAATAATTTACAATCACACAATCAAGACACAAAATTTTGGCATTTTCATTCTGTACACCTTAAAATCAGCAATCATCATCATCATATACAAGTTCTCCATACAAAATCTCTATACTTTTCCTGTGGTACTTACCAAAAGAATCTAATTTGTCTAACAATCAAGAGCTTAACTGTTGAGTTTACGATCATTAATTTTCCTATATACTCATAATCTTAAAGCTTGACTCGCATGTAATACTGTTTGGAGAAGGTAGATGCTTGTCACTCTTAGAGAATAAAGAGCATTGAATACATGTCTAAAACAGGTACAAGAATGACTCACATGTTCCAGAGAGAAGCTGTGTGATTTCATCCACAGGCGGCATATCTTGAATGGCTGCATTAATTTTCTCTCTGACCTCCAAAACACTTGTCTGCCATTTCACGTCACAGTGTCTCCTGTCCAAAAGCCAATCTGTTTTGTTTTGTTTTTTTTTTTTTTTTTTTTTTTTTTTTAACAGGATGGAAGTGCAACAAGAGGTAATTAAAATTTTTCATACATGTACTTTTGAGTTAAATGCATAGAGGATACAATTTTCCTCTGGAAAGGACATGTCTGAATTGATATGAGCCATAAGCTTTGGATCTACAACTATTAGAATAGCTGTACAAGGCATTGTTATGTTGTTGTCGCTGCTAATATACTTATTTTATAATCTATCCTGTGTCGTCTCTGATCCAGAAAAAAGGGAGATTAAACTTGACAACATGAACACAAAGACACAACATAAACCTTTCGAAAGCTACGCAATAAATCCAACTCCTTGAGGAATCAATGGTTCAGGTTGCAATAAAATCTGTTTTGTAACCAAATTCTAAACTTCTTCTATCGAATTGAATGTAGAGGCCCATTTTTCATAAATATTTTCAAGAGTTTGTTTATCTACATAGCATAAAAATTAATTGGTTTGTTATCGTTCTACATCCTTACCCAAAAGTTTGTTGTAATAGATGTCAATTGGGAGCAATTCCGCTTCTCTCGCATTGCCTGTTGAGTCACCTTGTTTCTTTCATGAGGAACATATAACAAGAGGTCATTCTTGAGTGAATTTGGAACATTTCTACAGAAAAACACGAGTTTACATACCTGCATTTTCACAAATTTTTTTAGGGACACGTCTTTCTTCTAATTCTAAAAGAAATTCCGCTGGCTCGTAAGAGACGGGGGCCTATAAAAACTAGTGCCCGCGATATTAGAGCAACTTCCCGGAAATATTTTGATCATGCGCAAACTTCTGCTTCGTGACAAGTCGCGCGTGATGTCCCGCGTGATATCGCGCGTAACAAGCGATTATCAACCCTCTTGTAAAGCATGATGTCTGTTTTCCGGCCAGGGTTATTTGAGGGCAAAGTAGCAATTGTTACCGGCGGTGGTACGGGAATTGGAAAGGCAATTGCTAGAGAACTACTCTACCTCGGCAGTAAAGTTGTTATCGCCTCAAGAAAGGAGGAAAGACTGAAAAGAACGGCTGAAGAATTGTGTCGCCATATACAACCATCAAGTACTGCTGAGGTGAAAGTAGTGCCATGTAATATCAGAGACGAAAAACAGGTAGGTGCCAGTTTTGCGTGTTTTCTTAACGACTAAGTTATCGAAATATTACTGGGAGAATAAATTTTTTGGCGAATTTTATTTCTTCATACATGTATTTGGTTAAATAGTCGTATTTTCTGCTGTAGGGGCCAATGCAAGGTATTGATGTGATATCACACTCCTCCCCTTCTACCTAGAAAAGGCTAGGGCTAGCGGGGGGGGTGGAGGGCTGCTGTCATCACCAACTATCTTTGTTCAAAACTGTTATTAAAAAGTTGATAATCCCTTCTTCACAATTTGTGCTAGTTTTTTTTTTTCCTCCAGTATACTCTAAACCAGTGTGAGCCACTGGACTCAGGAGAAGGCTTTTTTTTCTTCATTCTTTTCATACCTGTATAAGTATGTTTAATTGTGCAAGTGGTACATAGTCCTTTTTGTCTGATCTGTCACAACTTTCCTTCCATTAAAATCTGGATCCATGTTGCGCTAAATCTTACCCTGAAATTAACTTAAAGCTGTACTTGAAAGATAAAATGATTTTAAGCCACCCTAAACACCAATGTATAGGCCCTCACCATTCTTCCCAAAGTATTTTCAAAGTTTTTAAAAGGTCACTTTCCTTGAGCAGCTTAAGGTTACCTGGCCAGGGATTCCATTCCACTGCAAAAATCTGTTTACAGTGTCACCCATGGCCAGTCCATCACAAGAGAGAACTTTCTGCATTATTCTCAATAGTTGTGATAATAAGTTATGCTTCAAAAAAAAGTTGTGTTCAGTAACCCTTCTCCTGATCAAATGCCTGGCTATTAAACTAAAAAAAGACCTAATGAACAAACTCAAGTTTCCCTACTAAAATCTGACAGGAATGAAAAAAAAAATACTGGTTGAACAATACTGGTCCAGTGAGAGAAAAAAATCAAACATTGGTCTAAGTCAGTAGATATGACAGCTATACTATTACTAACAGCTGAAATTATAGGTAAGGTTTCAAAGTGTTCTCTGTTTTCGATGTAAATGAGTTTATGGAGTGTATGTCTAATGAAGCAACAAATATAAAGCAACTTTCTTAAGACTCCACTTGTGAGTTTTCGTGAACTTTTTTTCCAAAATTTGAGTTGCCAAACTCAGGAGGCAGCCTATCTGTGAGAGTTGCATATGTGCTGGTGTTATTTGTGTTTGAAAATATTCAATCAAAACAAATGTAAACTCTAACATTTTAGGTAACAAACTTGATGGAAGAAACTCTCTCCTCTTATGGTAAAATTGACTTCCTTGTCAACAATGGAGGAGGTCAGTTCGTGTCACCTGTTGCAAACATGTCTTTGAAGGGTTGGAAAGCTGTGGTTGACACCAACTTGAATGGGACATTTCTGTGCTGTAAAGAAGGTAAGCACTGAATTAAAAAAAAATCTGTTATTGTTTTCTGAGCTGGGTAACCTTTTTGCATAGCAAGAGATAAAACTATCATGATAATGTAATTTAAGCTCAACTATCACAAAGCCTGATAACAAATTAATTTAGCATAGGACAAGAAAATTTGTTTTATTTTTTGTGTGTTTGACACTCAATGAAAGTTACCTTTTTCTTCTATGTAGCTACCACTATCTGAAAAATGGTAATTGGTGGCCTGGTATGGGCTTGTCGTTAATTTACACTAATTTTTTTAGGAAAATGTGGGTGTCCCTGTTAAGGTGACTCAAAGCATTCCATTATTTTTAGACTCCAAAAAATCCAAAAATTAAGTGAGCTCTGAATCATATGTGCAGACTTCTTTAAACCTTTGCTTTGAGATGTATCTTGTGAAGCTGAGTACATTGTACAATTCAGTTAGGAAAAAGGGGGGTTATCCAACTTATTAAAGAAACACAGACTGGTAGAGCTGTAAGAGGGGATGTTCTCAGAGGCTATGGTATTGCTATGGTAACCTTAAAATGTCAGTAAATGATCACAACTTGCTCAGAAATTATTGGATGTTTTTGTATTGGACTTTAGTTTTTGTCACTTGGGGTCAATTTTGCTGCAAGTGTTACATGTTTAAGTCAACTGTAAACACAGAACATTTGTTATCATAAGTGGTCTATTCCAGACACTTATGATAACTTTTCAATGACCTACACACTTCTTAATGGATGTTATATTTACAAGCTTGTACCATTTGGCACTGAATAGTTACATTATTACACTGGGCTTTAACTTGTTTTACTGATTATTTGACATTAGTGAAGAGTTGATTTAAATAAGTGAGATTGTGTCTATGTTAAGCATTCAGATTGTGGATGTGCAATAATGGCGGTTCCATTGTAAACATCATTGTGGACATGAGCAAGGGTTTCCCAGGAATGGCGTAAGTTGTGATTTTCTTGACTTCCTGCAATAACAGTGCTTGTTTGCAAACTTGAATTGAGTCAAAAGTTGCTCTGTTTCTAGGAATTCTGCTGAGGTTAAAATAACATTTTGTTTATTGATTTTAAATATCCATGTTTCAGCAAATTCACACATGAGTTGCATTCTTTGCATTTCAAAATGTAGATAAAAGTTGATTTGTGGAAACAAAGTTAAACCTCGGGGGAGATACTGAAAAAGCAACTTTGTTTCAAAGAAGAGAGGTCAGTCTCCTAACTTTTTTTCTGTATTTTCTTTATATATCATCCAGACACAGCGGTGCAGCACGAGCTGGAGTTCACAACTTAACAATGAGCCTGGCTGTTGAATGGATAGGTTGTGGAGTCAGAATCAACTGTGTGTCACCAGTATGTTAGTATTGATCTGTCTTGCATACATACATTATTTTGTGGATTTTCAGCTTATAGGTTGGTAATGGAGCCAAATGCGTTAGGGTAAATGTGTTAGGCCCAGTTTGACCTCTGTCCTAGTGGCAAAATAGTGGTGAAGGGGACTAAGACTTATGATACAGACAATCCTGAAAAAAATTACTGATCCCTACTGAAAGTGACATTCATGTATTCACTTGCCAAAAGTATGCAACTGTGGTTCAAGGTCTTGCTGACTGTGTGCACTCTTAGACCAGCTACAAGTACTGGCAGCTACATGTATTTGCAGCATGAATAAGCATTTTCTTTTTTTAGGGTGTGGTGTACTCTGACACTGCCGCACAGAACTATTCAGAATATGAGCCTGAGCTGTTTCAGAAGATGGCTAATTTGTTACCAGCCAAAAGATGTGGAACCACTGCAGAAGTAAGAGCAACGAGGTTATGTTTTTTTCATTTTTTACTCTTAAGTGGTTTTGTTGTCATTCAGCTGAAAAAGAACTCCCTCTGAGATTTTTTTTACAGAAATGGTCAACTTTTGAGTTCAGTAATGAAACAGAGAAAGATATTTGGTTATCTTTTCACAAAGGTGGGATGAAGAAGAAATTCTGAGTACATGCAGAATTGAACCTCAGAGCTTTGGATTCCATGTTCCAATGTTCTCCCACTGTCTACAGACACTGCATAGAGAGCTCAAGGCCACTACTAAGTTAATGCATATGTGAGACACCTCTCCTGCATACAGCTAGGATGAGCAATGTCGAAAGTATGATGTGTATACAATTAGATAGATTAACAGTGTAAGTATATACAGCTGTACTAAAACAATGGAGAGCATTGAAGGTGCACTCTGATTGGCTACTCGAACTCTGAATATCTTTTGCTAGTCACCTCCCAGCAACTCGTGCAGGATTCACACCTGAAAATATTGTAATTGTTGCAGGAATGAGTTAAAATCATCTTTTTGTACTACAGTATTAGTATTATCTCACTGTTTCGCCATAATACTACAAACAACTGTTTGCCGGTAGTGTTGCTTTGTGGTTGGTTAAATATCCACTGCATGCCACGAGCTCTTTGGTTAATAGCTGTTAATTATTCAGATTATCAATCCTAGTAATGAAGGCCTAGAGTGTAGCTGGAGATGTTATGTATCTTCGCTAAACGAAATGTAATTGTTCAGGTAGCAGGGGCTGTGAGCTTCCTACTCTCCCCAGCTGCAGCTTACATAACAGGAACTACAATTGATGTGGATGGAGCATCAAGTAAAGTCTTTGTTAATAACTTACCAACAGCAGGTAAGGTGATGATAGCTAAATTATATGTTGTCATGTATGTTAGTACAGTGCTGTGGAATGTTACTTGTGGGTTACACTTGCAGATCTGACAAAAAAAAAAAACCTCCTCCTGAGATAAGGTACACTCCTTCTGCCCACTTATTTTGTCTCTTTGGATACAATGTATAT